CTTCCCCTTCCCATTTTGAAAAGGTTGTGTCCTAATGTAGGGTCAATGTCACACTTTGAGTGTGAGACGTGTCAGTTTGGAAAACACATAGAGTGTCCTATAGCCCTAGGATAAACAAAAGAGCCACAACCCCTTTTGATGTTATACACTCTGATGTTTAAGGTCCTTGCCCTATGTTGTCTAAGTCTGGATATCGATACTTTATTATTTTTGTGGATAATTTTTAACGTGTAACTTGGTTGTATTTCATGAAAAATCGTTCTGAATTATTCTCCATGTTTTGTACCTTTTATGCTGAAATACAAAATTAATTTACTTCATCTATTAAAATTCTCAGAAGTGATAATGCCAAAGAATACTTTTCTGCTCTTTTCTCCTCCTTTCTGTCTACTAGAGGTATTATTCATAAATCATCATGTGTTAATACACCTTAGTAAAATGGAGTTGTTGAACGCAAAAATCGTCATTTATTAGAAGTCGCTCGTACACTCCTTTTTCACATGAAAGTCTCTACAGAATTTTGGGCAGATGCTATCTCTACAGCATTTCACTTGATCAATCGCATGCCTTCTTCTGTTTTGGGTGGTCAAATCCCGTTCTCCATCATTTTTCCATCACAACCTTTATTCTCTCTTCCTCCTAAAGTGTTTGGGTGCACGTGCTTTGTTCAAGATGTTAGACCTTATGTATCCAAATTTGAACCTAGGTCCCTCAAGTGCATATTCTTGAGTTATTCCCGATATCAGAAGGGTTATCGTTGTTTTTCTCCTGTCCTAGGTAAGTACCTTATCTCAGCTGATGTTTCCTTTTTTGAAACCACTCCATATGTTGAGTCCTCTACTTCAGTTACTTCTCTTGAAGCATCCCTTGATGATCTTCTTGTTTACAACATTACCCATCATAGTCCTCTACCATCTCGTCCTCCTATCACCCAGGTATACTCTCGCAGGGTTCACCAGCACCATGAGACACCTGCAGCAACATCTAATCCACTGCCTCTATCGATTGCCTCGCCCTCGAATCCGGTTCCTCCTTCCTCCTTCCTCTGACCATGATCATGATCTTCCTATTGTTTTTCGTAAAGGTAAGCGCTCTTGTACCTATCCTATCTCCTCTTTTGTTTCCTATCACTCTTTGTCTTCATCTTCCAAGTCTTTTATTGCCTCTTTAGACTCTGTGCCTGTTCCCAACTCTGTGTCTGAAGCAATTACTCATGATGGGTGGCGAAGGGTATGGAAGAAGAGATGTTGGCTCTAGAACATAATGATACATGGGTTTTAATGGAGTTGCCTGAAAATAAAAAGGCTATTGGGTGCAAATGGGTTTTCATAGTGAAGGCAAATCCCGATGGGATTGTGGCTCGGTTGAAAGCTCGGTTGGTTGCTAAGGGTTATGCCCAGACATATGGTATTGATTATTCTGAGACATTCTCCCCAATGGCTAAAATGACCTCTGCCGACTATTCATCTCTCTTGCAGCTTCATATTGTTGGCCTCTTCACCAACTTGATGTAAAAAATGCCTTTTTACATGGTGATCTTCCGGAAGAGGTTTATATGGAGCAACCTCCGGGGTAACCTCCGGGATTTGTTGCTCAGGGGGAGTCAAGAAAGATATGCAAACTGAGGAAATCTTTATATGGCTTAAAGCAATCTCCACGGGCGTGGTTTGGGAGGTTTAGTGAAGTAATGACTCAGTTTGGTTTACATAGGAGTGCTTATGATCATTCTGTCTTTTATAAGCAATATATTTCTGGCATTATTCTTTTGGTTGTTTACGTTGATGATATTGTAATCACTGGCAGTGATGATGTTGGCATCCAGAGTTTGAAAAACTTTTTGGCTTCCAAATTTCACATAAAAGACTTTGGCACTTTAAGGTATTTTCTGGGAGTCAAGGTTTCTCGGAGTAAGAAAGGGATTTTTCTCTCTCAATGCAGGTATGTGTTAGATGTGTTGACCAAAATGGGTCTAAGTGAGGCTAAGCCTTATGACACTCCTATGGTTCCTAATGTGAGATTGAATGCTGAGGCTAGAGAGATGTTTGGTGATCCAGAGAGATACAGACAGATAGTTGGAAAGTTAAACTACCTTACAGTAACCCGTCCAGATATTGCTTTTTCAGTGAGTGTGGTGAGTCAATTTAGGTCATCTCTTAGGACATCTCATTGGGATGCGGTCCTCCATATTTTGAAGTATCTAAAAGGAGCCCCTGGATGTGGGATTCTTTACAGTGATCATGGTCATAATAAGGTAGAAGGTTTTTCAGATGCAGATTGGGTAGGATCCTCTATGGATAGACGGTCTGTGATTGGGTTGTGTTTTTGTTGGAGGAAATCTTATTTCTTGGAAAAGTAAGAAGCAACCAGTTGTAGCTAGGTCAAATGCAAAGTCTGAGTATCGGGCTGTGGCACAAGTTAAGTGTGAGCTTATATGGACAATACATCTTCTTAGAGAAATTGGGTTTGGTGACCCAGGGACTATGGACTTGTGGTGTGACAACCAAGCAACCATACATATAGCAAACAATCCATTCTTTCACGAGAGGACTAAGCATATAGAAGTGGATTGTCACTTTGTACGAGAGAAACTTCAACAAAAGCTAATTGCTACTAATCATGTTAGAACAGGGGAACAACTAGCAGACATCTTCACAAAGTCTCTAGTTGGTAAAAGGGTAACTTATATTTGTAACAAACTGGGCATGATAGATATATATGCTCCAGCTTAAGGGGGAGTGTTGGAAACTATGCATATATGTAGTTAAGGGTATATATGTAACTGTATAGTGTGTATATATTTGTTAGGGTGTACTGTTGAGGAAAATGAAGGAGAAATTGAAAAAGTTTGAACACATATTGATAATGTCTACAATCAAATTAATTTTGTATGGTCAACCAAATTGTCATGATAACGAATTAAAAAAAAAAAAATAGCTTTTTTAGACAAAAAAGAAAAAAAGAAAAGAGCTGGATAGGTAAAATATGAGAAATAACAATAGGAAAAAACAGAAAAAATAGAAACATTCTTATAATTAAAATCAGATATTGAGGGGAGACAGGAATTTCACAAGTGAATAATCCAATTTATTTTCCCCAAAATAACTACTAACTGTGATCCAAAAGCAGTAGATAAAAACAAAACAAAATGAATTTCATGGATGACAATTCTCTACATGAACCTCATCAATTAGCTAAACTTCTAGATTTGAGGTGAGAAGGTAAAGCCTCACACCATCAGCAATAATCTTTAAAATGCTTCAGTCCAATAAGCAAATATACATCAATTTGAATCCCCTTAAAGAAGTAAAACCGGCATACTTCTGGTAAAAAAACAATTTCAGTAAAACATTTAAAGCTTTGTCAATCTTTATTACAATTTATTTATTGATTATTCGAAAAAGTTTAGACTTCCATATAAATACTTCACTATTATATATCCCTCTTGAAGAAGTAAAACCAACATACTTCTAGTAAAAAACAATTTCAGTAAAACATTTAATGCTTTGTCAATCTTTATTACAATTTATTTATTGATTATCCAAAAAAGCTTAGACTTCCGTATAAATCCTTCACTATGATATATAAACTAAAAGAAAAATAGAAAAACTCTTCAAGTCACCTTAACTCTTTTGTCTGGTCAGTTCTTTGTCTCCTTTTGGGTCATTTGGGAACTAGGATACAAGGAGAAGATTCAAACTCCTAGAAGAACATGAATGATTTCCTATGTATAAGAATCACCAATGTGTATATTTTATACGTATTCTTATATTTACTTCCTTCTTTATCATCCAAAAAGAAATTTATTTTTATTACTGCCATATCTTGAACTTTCTACTTCCTAAACCATGGTATTGTATTCGTCAAAAACACTCCTTTTATGTTCAAACACTTAATAAATTATGTTTATATCAACTATACGTATTCTGCCAAACAGAAGATATAGAAATCACTGTATTTTAGAAAGTAGTTTTGGTGCTCTCTACGTTGATTGGGAAGAAGGTTGAGCTGTGTATATGATTTAATTCATATCGTAAGGATTATATGACCAAATAAGCAACTAAAGCTTCCGCTCTCAAAGAAGAAAATCAAGTTTGACTGAATCAACCTATTCTACAACAAAACTAATTATGCTTTGCTAGTTAGCTGGAAAAATTCAGCAAAATAAGAATTAATATACAGTAAACTATAGTCTCTGAATTTTCTCAGCAACCAAACACAAATTCATACGATAATAAATCAGTCACACAATCTAAGCAACAGTTGATGAAAATTACGAAAATGCAAATTATACAAATTAGTTACATAATCTAAAAACAAAATATCATAAAAGAACATGAGACATTGCCATATAAAGCTGCCTCCGACTCCAGGCCAAGGTGCTGGAAGAGAGTTTGTTGGCGATATGTGAGACAAACACGGAGAAAATATCGGAATCGCTTAAGGTGCATAGAGTAGTAATTACATCAATAATTTGGCATGCAATAGGTATTTCTCAATTGCGTGAAAGCTAATTATTGTTTCAAGTAATGAGGAACAGAATGGAAATATACCTGAAAAAAAAAAAAAAAAACTTTTAGATTTATTTTTCAAACACTAACTCTTTTCTCTATAATTTTTAATTTAATGGAAATTGCATAAGTCTCAGTACATGTGAACTGCATTAGCATGTTCCCATGACAATACAAATGATTTTGACAGTACTTCACTTTTTCGATATTTCATTTTTCTTTTTATTTGATTTCTACATTTCTAGTACCATAAAGTTCTTTAAATTCTAGTCTCATCACCAGAATAACACACTTGGCTAATTGACATTTTTTGTTCTATTAAAGTATATAGTTTTACAGACGTAATAAAGAAAAGTGCATCAAACAACACCAAGATGTAGATTCAAGTGACAGACACCAGAATCTAAAGATTACCTTATAAAGTACAGATGTAGAATCGACAAGATTTATTCTACTTGTTTTAAACCTGCTTATACCATCTGCCTGGCTCTAAAAGACACAAGAATTTAACACAAAAAACATCAATCACAATGAAATGAAACAAAACTCATGAAAAAAACAAAGATATTCAAGTTTTCTGTTGTTGTTGCATGTCAATAGATTCTACTCTTACGTCAAAGTTAATGAAGTAGATATAATGAGTAAAACTGCACAGAATATCAGATTGCTTAGCTGGTAAAGAGTATTCTAATATACAGACACAGATTTATATGCCTTTAACAGAAACCCTTTATGCAATCCGTAACTCATAATTTAAAGAAAAACTACTAATTTTTAAATTGCAGCAGTTATTACCTTGCATCGAGATTCAACAACACAAATGAAAACACTACGTGAGTGTGAGCTTTCTGCATTTATACTAGTTGCACCTGTCCTCCTGTTTGACAATCCCTGCATCATAAAAACACTAATCATAAATTTAATGTAAGAAAAATTAGCAAATCAAACATATTAAAATCAGACATTGAGGGGAGACAGTGAATAATCCAATTTATTTTCCCCAAAATAACTACTAACTATGATCCAAAAGCAGTAGATAAAAACAAAACAAAATGAATTTCATGGATGACAATTCTCTACATGAACCTCATCAATTAGCCAAACTTCCAGATCTGAGGTGAGAACTTAAGGTAAAGCCTTACACCATGAGCAATAATCTTTAAAATGCTTCAGTCCAGTAAGCAAATATACATCAATCTAAATGCCCTTAAAGAAGTAAAACCGGCATACTTCTTGTAAAAAAATAACTTTAGTAAAACATTTAATGTTGTGTCAATCTTTATTACAATTTATTTATTGATTATTCGGAAAAGCTTAGACTTCCATATAAATCCTTCACCATTATACATAAACTAAAAGAAAAATAAAAAAACTCTCAAGTCACCTTAACTCTTTTGTCTGGTCAGTTCTTTGTCTCCTTTTGAGTCATTTGGGAACTAGGATACAAGAAGAAGATTCAAACTCCTAGAAGAACATGAATGATTTCCTATGTATAAAAATCACCAATGTGTATATTTGATACATATTCTTATATTTACTTCCTTCTTTATCATCCAAAAAAAAAATTATTTTTGTTATTGCCATATCTTAAACTTTCTATTTCCTAAACCATGGTACTGTATTCGCCAAAAACACCTCCTTTTTTTATGTTCAAACACTTAGTAAATTTGTAGTGTACTCTATTCACATGCCAGAAAAAGAAAAACAAATGGAGTTGCCAAGCATTACATGCAGTAAACCCTTAAATATAATTCAAGCACCAGGAAAAATTCCTATATGTTGGGTGTACCTATTAGGTCATAGTCAATGTATCATGGAATTAAATTTGTCAAGCAAAGAAACACTATAATGACAAGGAAAATGAATATATACATGTTTGTACTAGCCAAGGAATCGTACAACATTTCTTTTATTGGCATTCCCTAAAAAAGTCTCAAATGCTAGGAACCCCCTTAAGCACCCTTACTATGCGGTCCAAGAAGGAAAAACAAAGCAAACCTTTATCAGCAGTTGTGTGACATCCTTCATACTGCTCTGTCAAATTTTCAATATAAACACCAGATTTGACATCTTCTCTTATCTGGAAGAAGAAGCAAAACAGGGCCAAGGAAAACTGAATTTATGTAGGTCATTTACTGGATGAGAGTGCTTCTGTTACTTGAAGATTTCTTTGGCTTGGATCCAACAAATCTGTGATTTGTTCATTGTAAATTTGCAATACTATGTATATATATTAGGACATGCAACATTAAATTTCACAAAAGCAAAAGGGATACTGTCCAATCACAAAACCTAAAGAAAAGAACAACGACATTTCTCTCTCTCTAATACAAAACAAAAAAAAAAAAAAAAATCACAATTTCTTCTCGGCTTTTCCTTTCGTAACAAACAGAAACTAACAAAACTTAAAATTTTCTCACTTGAGTCACTTTTTCCCCAAATTCTTCCAAAATTTTCAAAAACGCATAATATCAAATAACCACTGAAAGAAGAAGATCGAAACCTTATTGACAGAGATGCAGTTCATTGTCAAACAAAGAATTATTCTTCAACCTGAGAAGGTTGACAATATAACCAGGGCAATCAGAATGCAATTCAATGAGCTTCATGCTAACTTTGAGAATGGTGACAAGGAACTTTAGAACATGATGCAATACTGGAAGCAGAGTCGTTAATCCACAACCAGCTCTGCTTGAAAGAAGCTTGCTAGCGGTCGAAAGTCGTGGACTGGTGGGGGTCAATCACCTTACTGCAAGAGTTGATTGTTGGATCCTTGCATTCTGTTCATCAACAGTAAACTTAATATCAGCCCCAAAGGACAGCTTCTGTGAAGACTCTACCTTGTGACTCGTACAGAATACATATAATTTGAGACAGAAAATACAAACTGGAGTAAGTTGTCTAACAAATATGAAATTTTATAAAACTTGTTAAAATCTAGATTGTAATATTTTTCTCTTCTTGAAGGCAGCACAAAAAAATAGTCAAATGATAAAATACCCAAAACAGTCAAACTAAGGGTAGCTCTTGCGATTTTTCAATTATGAAGTACCCTCACCTAACAATCATAGTATTTCAAAACAGAGCTGCAATGTTTCTTTCCCACCAAAACTTGGATCTGTTTGCCCTAGTGCTTGCACGACCTTTCACAGGACAAAAATGGAAGACCAAATCTAATGTTTGATTTGGACTTGCTGTCCGATAAAGCGTGGGCTTTTTTTATGACCTCAGCAAATAAAACATTCAAGGAAGGATGACCTTCTCCATCTTCTGTTATTTCCATAGAGTTATCTCCCTCATCCAAACTCATGCTACATATGTCATTGGCATATGCATTTACAAAATATCCTTTCTGAGCCAGGATCGTCAGAAGTGCTGGGCAAATATAATTGAAAAATGTTCATTGTGAGAAGACAACATTGATGATACTATGGAGATGAGCATCTAGTTGACTGTATATATCCATGCTATGTCACCAAGAATGCTACTCAGCCTTATGGATTGATTCAAAATTAAAGCATGAAGTCTCTTGAATTCAGCATAATTTTCTGAGAGTTCTAGACATTTTATGACTGTCTGGGGACATTTCCTGGGCAATTCATTGAGTGGTTATCCTAAAACACTTGCTTATGGACAAAATTACGCAGTTTTTAAGTTTGGAAGGTTAAATATTGATTACGGATGTTACAGGGAACTTCATCTTCCCAGTGAAGTAATGGTGGCATACTACAATCATGTTTACATGTGATTCATACAGCTTCTGCCTCTGCATGCCACCATTTGTTACCATACTTCTAGTAAAGACTTGAAATGAAGAACTTAACTAGAAATAGCTCTTACCATTGAACTTTTAATCTTGCTCCCCTCCAACAGAAAAATCACAAAAAGGAGTGCAACTATCTCTTGTCTACCTAGACTTTTGTTGTAATCTTAAACACAACCATATGATTCTAAAATTATCTATGACTTTATCTATAACTATTATTACAGACTTTTGCTAAGGTTTGTTTAAATATCGCTAAACTCCTCTAATACAGTAAAACCTTTGGGAGTTCAAAAATAATTTCAGAACCAGAGGTGCGTATTTGAGATTGCACCCTAAGTTCGGAGAGGTCAAAAGATGACATTACCAAGTAGAATAAATAGAATTTGCTACAAAGGAAGAAAAAAAAGCCTTAGAGAATGTGACAGACCTATAGGCGAACGTCATCGTCTCGGGTTTTCATCAAAGCCTCCAATGAAAGATGCAAGAGCTTAGGACAGTGAGCAAAAAGAACATCAGCTCCGTCACTATTGATGGATTCACATTGGAGGATGGATACTTTATACAAAACAAAAAGGATCTCTCCACAGATTTCCTCACTGTACTTGGAGGAACAAATAGGTCTTAGGTTACAATAGGGTAGATGCATTCAAGGTAAATCTTATTCTGGGTTAAGTAGTTTCATACCATGGCAAACGAAGCAAACCTTTACCAGTACTTGTGTGACATCTTCATACTCCTCTGTCAAATTTTCAACATAAACACCAGATTTGACATCTTCTCTTATCTGAAAGTAGAAGCAAAACAGGGTCAAGGAAAACTAAATTTGTGTAGGTCTTTTACTGGACGTGAGTGCTTCTGTTACCTGAAGATTTCTTTTGCTTGGATCCAACAAATTTGTGATTTGTTCATTGCAAATCTGCAATGATGTGGATATATTAGGACATGCAACATTAAATTTCACAAGAGCAAAAGGGATACTATCCAGTCACAAAACCTCAAGAAAAGAACAACGACATTTCTCTCTCTTCTAATACAGAACAAAAGAAAGAAACTTAACAATTTCTCTGAAGATTGTGTTTCTTGGCTGCATGAAGTGGTTGATTCCGATCAGTAAACTACAGAGAGAGAAGAGAGAAGATAGAGTGGGGTTTGTTAATTTGGGCAAGATTGCTGAGATTGAGGGCGTTGGAGACAAGAAGAGGAGAGGAGAAAGAAATGTAGCCGTTAGAATAGAGGGGTAAACTTCTGAATTTTGTTGAATTGTTCACATTGTGGGGAATTGATACCGAGAAAAAGAATGAGAAAGTGAAAGTTGTTTTGAACGCGTGATAACGTTTTGATTGGTCGCCTCAAAATAAGAATTACGTTGCATAGAATTGGGCTGGAAAAATTGTTTTGAAAGCGTGGTAAGAGGGGGTGTTCTTGCAGCCTCAACAATTGTATTTTAATGCATATGGCAATCAAGCAAGCTTAATTATTTAATTTGCAATAGATATTGTTGTTTTTATAAGTTACTTTTTTTTTCTTCTTCTTAAAATGAAACAAAATATAATATTTTTTTCACATGATTTTCAAGAAGTAGAATTCAAAACAACATTTATGATACCACCGACGTATCACAACCAAATGCTAACCACATTCATGATAAATATTATAAGAAAGAAGGTATAAATTATGTGCATGCATTAAAAAAAAAAAAAAAAAATTAAACAAAATAAATGGTTATATAGGAAAATAAGGTAATTAGTTTACTAATATATAGAGAAGAAATGCTAGCCTTACTCACACAATGATTTAACAGGCATGTGACCGCATGTGAATGCAAACTATGGGATGGGAAGATAAGTGAGTAAGAGAAGTGAGTAAGGCTAGCATTTCTCTATATAGAGTCTGATGTAATTTTGAGATTATATTATTGCTTTTTAATGTCTTCATGAGGGTAAAACTAACCCAATTCTTCAAAAAAGCAAGAGATAAAAGGAACAAAATATGTTATTACTTAAAGTTTTGAGTTAAAAAGCATTGACCCCCAAGGTTTATTGTTTTAGCCACTGTTTTGAAAACTAGACCAAACCCGACCGGTTCAACCGATGATCGGCGCCCTATTAGGTCTGGGTTACCATTTTTAACTGTTCACAAAATCCCTAAACTGATCACCGATGAACAAGTGGCTATCAAGTGCCGGGGTAGAGGGTTTTTATGGAGTGGAGATCAACCCAATACTCGAGTCATGGCTAGCGAATGGGGGGCAGTGCAAAAATATAGTTGTTATGCTCAAGTAAGAGTTTGAAAAACACAAAAACTAGTTGACTGCTTTGAATCCAGTCAACTGGATTTAAGGTAACGTCGACGTGGCACTAACCATTAGAATGACTAAGCCACATCTGATCAACCGAACCAACTAGGAAAAATAGGGTCTGCTCCAGTTCAAATCTGGAAGACAATCCGGTCAAACGAAAGAGGTGAATTTTCAAACTATGGCAGACATACTTTACCCGTAAACTTTAGAATATGATATTTTAGCCCCTAAATAGAACCCAGAAATAGGACGCACTATGCAGTTGATCAGCTTGGGTTAAACTATAAAGATATGAAACATAGAAAAATATCAATTTAACCACCTAGGTTTGAAAAGTGACATTTTGGTCTAAATCTAAAAAACCCTCAAAGTGACATTTTCAACTTTCTTGCACATTGCACTCATTCATGCTCACACAACTCTAAAATATCATACTCACATATAATCACTCTTGATTCCATTCACCGTATAATCACAACTCCTTGAAGTGATTTTGTAATCACCACTTCAAACTCAAAATTTATTAAAGATAAAATCCATTAAAATAATGCAATTATAGCCAAAGTAATCCATCCAATCAATTATATTTGACAAATGAGCATATCAAAGTTTAAAGCTTACAACTCCTAAGCAAAAAAGTTTGCAAATTCGAATCCAAAGCATATAGCTTACAAATTCTTAAAAGCTGACATGCCTAAATTTCAAATTGTGATACAAAATGACATAACCTTAAAGTTCTTTTTTGTGTACTTGATATTGTATACCAAATATAATACCAACATGGACATAAATTTTGTTACAGATAAAAAACAAATATTTTGTAACTTTTTCCAATACCCCATCCAATTTACAAAAGTGTGTTTATACTGCAAGAAAAAATAGTTATATACTATGCTTTCAAAAATAATCCTTGCAATTGCCACTCCCCACAATCACAATCGTGTGTCTTCAAATGCCTATATAAGTCCTTCTTGAAATGGAAATCAATTGGGAACCGAGTTAATGACTTTTTTCCACCCAAATAATAGTTTAATGTCACTTTCTCACCCTGAGTCTTTTGGTGGTTGGGATTGATCGGAATTTAACTTGGGAGGGGTGGTTGTGCAAACCCTAATCGCTCAATTCCCGAGGATTGGCAGGGTCCAAGGGAGTAAGGTTTGAAAGGTTTTGGTGAGTGATGATCGGTGAAGAGAATTGTGGTGGTGTTGGGTCGCAACAATGTCGAAATCGGAAACGAAATATAAATTTGGGTAGTAAAGTGATATTTTAAAAGTGTGTGAGTCGAAAAGTGTCAGTAAACCATTATTTGGGTGGAAAAAAATCGTTTATAGTCCCAATGAGTAAACGATTATAGAGAGACTAGAGCGATGATAATGGATACTTTCATCACTATATTTGCACAAACAGTGACTCAGATGATGAGACATTACTGGTCATGTGTATTAACAACCTTTAGGGGATAGTTTAATTGCTTTAGAGGTTGGCTACATGTTTAAAATTGCTAATGTCTTCAAGGATGTACTATATGGCTTTGCAATTCAAAGGCTAAAGTCGCTTTCTTCTGTGCAGCCCCATCATGATTCATGCCTCTTCATGTCATGGATGATTACATATCAGATTATATCTTTTAATACCCCTCACATATGTGTCCTAGATTTGTCCATGGTTCAGATCAAGCTCATTAGATAGCTAGGAAGTTCTTAGAAATGGTAAAGGATAATCCTAAGGTTGATGCGTCAATTTTAGAATAGGCTATTACGAAAAAAATAGGAAGAGATTGTTATTGTAATATGTTTTACAGAGCTGAAAACAAGACAACATCATTTCTAGGACATGACATGATGTTAGTTATCAGTTATCACAAACCATATAGTTATGCCAGTGTCTTGCAACTAAGGAACTTAAGGAATACATTAAGGTTAAACCTATTGGTACAAAGTTCCAGAGAATGTTTGTCAGTTTTCCAGTCCAAAAAGATGGTTTTTCTAAATGGTTGCAGATCGTTCTTTGGGCTAAAAGAGGCACACTTGAAAGGCTCATATAGTAAATGTACCTTATCAATTGTCTCTATTGATGCCGATAATGAACTATTTATGTTGGTTGTTTGTATATGTGAAGGCGAGAATGAGGAATCATGGTGTTGGTTCTTAAAGCATTTGCTTCGTTGAAACAAGGAAACATATATTTATGTTAAATATGGAAAATGGTGTCCTAAATGAATTAGCAATTCAACATCCTCATGCCAATATTAGGTACTCTGTTACGTACCACGCACTTGAATTCGGAAACTTGTTCTGCGGTGATGCTAGAACCACAAACAAGTACAATTATAAGGCTACAATAAGTCATGTTGATGCTTGATTTATGATACCACTGAGGTATCACAACCAAATGCCAACCGCATTCATGATAAATATGATAAGAAAGAAGATATAAATTATGTGAATGTATAAAAAAATAATAATAAAATAAAATAAATGATTATATAGGTAAGTAAGGTAATTAGTTTACTAATATATAGAGTATGATGTAATTTTGAGATTATATTATTGCCTTTTAATGTCTTCATGAGGGTAAAACTAACTCAATTCTCAAAAAAGCAAGATTCAAAGAGACAAAGGGAACAAAATATGTTATTACTTAAATTATTGAGTTAAAAAGACGTTGACCCCCAAGGTTTATTATTTTAGCCACTGTTTTGAAAACTGGACCGATTCGACCAGTGATCGGTGCCCTATCTGGTTTAGGGTACCATTTTTAACTGTTCACAAAATCTTTAACCTGATCCCCGGTGAACGAGGGGCTATCAAGTGTTGGGTAAAAGGGTTTTTGTAGAGTGGAGATCGGGGCTATCAATTGATCAAATCAGATAAGAGTTATTTTATTGTAATACAAATTATCTAATGAACTTGAATGAAAAGTTAGAATTAACTATATATTTTTAATGTTAACTAAATAAATTTTCAAGCCATTGGATTATTATGAATTAATAATCATGGATTTATCTATGTCAAAATTTTTTGTTATACTAGCTTGACCAATTGGCGAAGCTCAATAACATCACTCACATGGAAGAATGTTTTATTAATATTCTAAGTCCTAAATTGGTGTATACGTTTAGTACTAAAGTTACCAACAATTTATAATTTAACAAAGTTTAATATAATTAATGCATGATACAATCAACTAATCATGAGACTGATGCATAAATGTATATTACATATATAGACATAATATTTAATAATTGGTTGATTGTATATACATCTTTTATAAGATAACTTTTTTTTTTCTTTTTGGACAAAATGAGCAGGATTACGCAATGTCAAGATGAGTTGTGAGCTAATTTCTATTGAAAAAATAATAGCTAAAAAGATTGGGGGAAGAAGATTAGAAACTTCAACAATTTTATTGTGGCTAAGCTCTAACTTGCCCATGCCTGCGCCTCTAAGCTTATTCGCTTAGCGTCATAAGACCCTGACCTTGATACCAATTGAGTATCAAGTGCCGTTGTTAGAGGCTTTTTGTAGAGTGGAGGTCGGTGACTCTAGGGGTGGTGTCGGATTGAATTTTGGACGTTGGAATCAACCGAAATTTGGCTAGAAAAATTAACCCAATATGCAAGTCATGGAAGGTGGTGTCTGATTGAATTTTGGACGTTGAAATCAGATGGAATTTGGCTAGAAAAAATCAACCTAATACGCGAGTCATGACTGGCAAACGAGGGGCTACCAAGTGCTGGGGTTAGATGTTTTGTACAGTGGAGCCAGTGGTTTAGGTGGTGGTGTCATATTGAATTTTGAATGCCAGAACCAGCCGAAATTTGGCAAAAAAAAAATCAACCCAATCACAACGATGTTCACAAGTCACAGTCGACGAACTGGGGCTACCAAATTCAAGAGTTAAAGGGGTTTTGTGGAGTGGAGAACAATGCTTCAAGTGGTGGTGTCAGATTGAATTTTGGCCA